GGGGCGGGGGCCATGGCCAGGCCTGGGCAGGCCTGAATATGATTGGGGAGGGATTTAAACTATGACCTGCAGGGACCCCAGCCAGGGTGTGCCTGGAGGGGTAATGCGAAAGCAGCCCCTGCCAGGTATTTCCCACCCTCACAGCTCCAGAGGCAGGGTGAGCAGTGGCAATGCACCAGGGAGGGCTTGGGACCCTCTGAGCCCTGGTGCCGCCACTTGCCCCATGTAGTCTGTGTCAGCTTAGCCTGCCCCACTTCCACCTATAGTGCAGCCCCCTGCACCAGGAAGCAGTTTGTGCTTCCAGGGACGCCATCTCAAGGGCTGCCAGTTCACTTGAGTTCAAGTGAACTCCCTGGCCCGTTCACATGAGGTTACTGCTGGCTACTGCTGGGGCTGGCCATGCTCCCTGCTGCTCCAGTGGCAATAGAGTGGGGAAATACCTGATAGCAGCTGCTCTGCCTTGGGCAGGCAGACCCTGGCTGGAGTCCCAGGACGGGAGAGGAGAGGTGGGGAATAAACCCCCTTTCTTGTCCCCTTCACCTCAGAGGGCCATGCCAGCCAGTGCCTGGCCATGCCCTTGCCCCTGCAGCAGCAAGGGGACGAGATCCTGACACAGGCTGCTGCGCCCCAGCCAGCAGACCCTAGCTGGGGTCCATGCCACTGGGACAGTGGACGGAGGGGGGAATTAAACCCCCATCTCCATTCGCTTCACACTGGCCTGGCCATGCCCCTGCCTCTGGAACAGCGAGCAGAGAAAAGCCTAGCAGGGGCTGGCAAATGCTAGCTGGGGTCCGCACTGGTGGGACACGGGAGGGAGTGGGGAATAAACCTCTTCCCTGCTCCCTTTGCCTTAGCAGGGACCGGCATCTGGCCATGCCCCTGCTCCGGCTAGAGAGCAGAGGGGTGGGGCCAGTCCTGCTCCACTGGAGCAGATGGTACAGCCCAGCCCAGGGCTGCAGAGCATGCAGGGATGCTGGGGGACTCTGGTTTAACTTAAACCAGGAAGGGGTCTGGGAAGCGAAGTTTCCTAAACTGGTTGGACCTCAGTCAGTTAAGTCTTATACTACATTCAATCAGGTTTGTCTCAACCTGGTTTCAGCCATTTTGAAACCGGTTTATGTGCACTGAACTTATGTTCTGTTACAGGCTTATACCAGTTTCTGCTCTCTTAAACCTGTTTATGTGTAACTTGTGTCCCTAGCCAAAGTGATTATAAAAATAAAGTTTGATATTTTGGTTAGAAATTGCAAAAATCCAAAAAGAAATATTTGTAAGTATTGAGGGTTTAGTATTAACTAGAATGACAGCTAAAGCCCAGCAAAATTGGCCAAGGATGTATCTGCAGAGGATATGATACTCACACTTGGAAAAAGCTGAGAAAACAGAACTCAATTTTACTCTTACTGAAGTTTTAAAACACATTTATTTCCCTTTTTGTCTAGTTTAATGCTTTATTTTGATAGTTCCTTTTTCTAAGTAAGGCATTTTGTAAGTCATACAAATCTCATGAAGGTGAGAGCCTCTCAGCACTAGGTCAGATCTGCTCTAGAGAAGGCAAATGCTATGCATATTTTCCCATAAAACTTCACTTCAATCTGGATATGGCATTTTACCATTATAGTGGACAAAAATGTAAAGATTTTTCCTATTGGCTGGAGATTACTGTTGCGGGCTTTGTAAGGTTACTTGAGACAAGACTTGAACACTTCCTTCAGAAATTAATGTGGGGTTGAGGGAAAGGGCTTACAAAGCAAAGATTCAGGTTCAGCATATATATATTTCTTAACGCAACTGATTCAGATTCTGGCATGTGTAAATGCAGGACCAGTTTCTATTGAGCTAAATAAAATTATTTCTATGTTGTTTACTTGGTGCGCATCTTCCTGAGGAGATCTAAAAACTAAAGTCCTTCAGCTCTTGGCAGGTGTCTCATGGTGCTTTGTTATGGAAGATGCTTTCCAAAATACCTCAACTTATTTTCATGCCCTGTATTGTGCCTTTCAGTGTAAGAGTGGTGTTATGACTGTGATGGTCCAGAAATTATGCAAGAGGCAAAGATTTTTTAGGGTGATTTTTTTTTTTTTATTATACCAACTGTATAGTTGGGATAGAGTTAAACAAGCTTTCAGTGAACAATGTCTTACATTTGAAAGCTTGTCTGTCTCTGTCACAACCATATGGTTGATCCAATAAAAGGTAGCATGCCAAGTTAATATTAATGTATTTTCTTCTTTCTGGATCATACCACTAGATCATGCCAGAAAGAAGAAACAGTAACATTAACTTACTGCTGCATAGAGTATAGTGTTATCACTACATAATTTAATGGCAATTGTGATTTTGACTAGTTATGCTTAGTAAGAGTTGTCACTTTTTTTTAAACTTAGAGTGGCTTTTGCTGTAGTTTGTACATTAAATCTATGCAAAATATAGAATTCTTAAAACAGTTATTATGGTAATATTCTATTTCAGTCTTCTTACAGTCTGTTCATTAGTCTTTTGAAAGATTTTGTGGTAAAATACATTATCCTTTGCATTTTGTCTTCATGCAGGGTTGTTGCTTGAGTACATATTGGTGTGTAGCCAAAGATTGTACTATTTGCAGTTAAAACAGCTACATAGTTTTGCCTCCCATATAAAAGGAAACCCCAAACTTAATAAATGGATACAGAAGAACAGTGCAGCATTTCTTCCAATGTATTATTCTGAAAAGAGAATTTCATTCTATTTTTTAGTAGTAAATTTCAATAGGGTACAAGTTTATTGTGTGTGTGTGTGTGTGTGTGTGCACGTGCCTTGTTTGTTATCCTATTGGGATATCAAACTGTACCCGTAAATGATTCACAGCATTAACTAATACAAGATATTATGGTGGTATATTGCTAGCAAGAATGGTGAATGGTAAATAAGTAAATCTTGCCAAAAGACCCACTAACAAGGAGAGAAAAATTAAGAGGCATAGGCCAGAGGGAACAGCTATGACCTATGAAAAAGAAAGGAGAGTAAATGATGCAGATATGCACAAGAGGTCAGCTTTAGCAAAGTGCATATTAGGCCTTTATAAAACATGACATGGAATTCTAAACTAAAACCCAAAATGAATGGGCAAGCAGCGGAGTTATTTAAGAATGAATCTTCTGCGGGCACAATTTCTTGTATGGGTAACAAGCAAAAAGTAGAGTTCTGTACACACTGGAGTGGGAGGAATGAAAGTAAGGCACAGAGGAGTTTGAGACATGGAACTGAAGTACTGTTAAAAGTCTACACACCCACGTAGGCAGGGTTGTAAGGAAAGGAGAATTCAGTGTCAAGAATGATACTGAAAAGTTATCGGTAGTGCAGGGAAGAAGAAGATATGAGTTAAAATCGTAACTTTTTTTAAGCCAGCTGTTCTAGTCTGAAATATGCCCCCCTCTGTAGAGTATCTAAGTCCTCCTATGGACTGTTAAGTGCATTCTGCTAACTCACTGAGGGAGGTGGCCCGTAATTGCACTCAAGTATAAAAGACATTGGAAGGGATCTGTGTGAGCTGACCAGCCTTGCAATAGGAAGCCCACGATGGCCAAGTCTGGTGAAAGGGTTTGAGCTGAATTTCACTTTTTCCATATGAGAACACTTTAGAAATTCAATCTAAATGAACCAACCTGGTAAGTTTAAAGTGAATTATTTAAGCCCCTGTGTGGACGCTGTGTGGATTTAATTCTGTTTAATGAATTTACTTCAAATTGAAAGCTTTGCTTACTCTTGATTAACTTCCCCAAGTATTACCGTGTAAAGCCCTCAATTAATCAAATCTAAGGAGAGGGGAAAGTTAGTTTGGCTTCCAGGTACCACACTGTGTGTGTCCAGCAGGACAAGGGAAAAATGTCTGTTCATAAGTATTTCTATTCATTGCATCTATTCAGAGGCAAAACTAGGCAGCTCTGCACCCTGGGTGCATGGGGCAACAGCCACAGCCAGGCTGCTGGTGGTGACCAGGGATTCGGGTCTTCTGTTTCCTGTAGAAAAACAGAAAAAATTGCAGATTTTCCATTTTAATAGAGATACCAATGAATTTTGCACTTTTGCAAAGAGCTCTATGCAGGCTGGCAGAGTTCGAGCCTGCAAGGGGCTGGGGGGAGCGGGAGAAGGGCAGTCAGGCAGGGGGCACCATGTGCATGTGCGCACTCACACATGCACATGGCCGCCAGGCAGCCTGGAGAGCAGCTCCCACAGGTAAGTTGGGAGCGGGGGGCAGAGGGGGGATTGATCCCT